TGCTCTGACTAAAAGAAAACCACTCCAAATATTCATCTTATTAATTTAAAGAAAGAAACGACTTCAGCTCATTTTTGAAAGAATCAAAAGATTTAATCTTTCTTAAAGTACTTGAGATAACATCCGGAGTAAGACAAGGATGTGTCCTATCACCACTACTATTTAACATATTTATGGAAAGAATCACAAAAGAGGCCAACACAGAACCAGATGCCCTAAATGAATTACTCTTCGCTGATGACCAAAGCCTGGGACACGTTGTGCCTGTGGATTGTGTGCCCTATTTTAAGCCAATGTCCCTCTGCCTTCCTGCAATCGATTTAGGCCGCTTTCACCTCAACCCCGAAACATGGTGCATACGGTCTAGTCGACAGACGACGATTTACAAGTGGTGTGCGCTTGTCAAGGACTGTCCTAACAGTGGAATTGTGCAAATCAACATAGACTGTTTTAAGGTCACTTAAAGATTTCAACAAATCCACCTAAAACTTATTAATATCAATTCCTTCGATGTTCCTTGTAGACATAGAATTTTTTCAGGCTTTGTCTCAATCACATCAGACACAAGTAAGACGAAGAAATTGTCAGAAAATAATTAATTGTCTACAACAGAAACTTTTCAGAAAGGGTCTGCGTCTTTCTTGATGACGACCCCGTCAAGTGTGTGGCCAGAACGATGGGTGGGTTCAGTGACAACTTGAATCATGTTGTGTTGTGTGAATAATTCTGTCAAATGTTTGACTCCAATTTAATATTTGTTTTGGTATTTGATTCTGGAAGTTGCAGAATTTTAAACCACGTAGAAGTATCCAATGTTAATTGTTCAAATCAAAGGTTCTGACCATTTGTAGATCTTTTTTCCCCCGTGTCCTGATTTTGGTGCCCGTCTTTGTTGGTTACGTAAAAAGAAAGTAATGGTGCAAATTGTTATATGAAAGGGGAATTGTTGAGTCGGTGATGATGAAGATGATGATGATGATGATGATGATGATGATGATGATGATGATGATGATGATGA